GTCCACTGGCCTCAGGAAGTCTAGTGTCAGTGAGGTCATTTGTGAGGTGGATGAGTCTCCGATCACCAACCAACAGAGGCGTATGGACCGCTGGGCCAAGCACTTGGACTCGCAGTTCAACTGGTCTCCACCATCCATCAGTACATGTAGTACATCTCAGGCTTTCTCCAACTGATGAGTCCCAACCAGGACGAAACCGCGATCTTGGGGTGCTAGTTTTGGGATGAGCAACACTATAATGTTTTTTACTTACGGTTTTTGTGATCGGAATGAGCGAAGTCCAACTTAAGTGAACTGAGGTCTCAATAGAGGTTGCTTGTAGCAACCCAACCACCAGCGGATTCTCCAAGTCCAACTTTACATTCGTTTCCGCTGTACCAAGTGTTGCGCGTGGATCTCAGTGGCATAGTGCTTGTGGCGGCAAAAGTGAGCAAGTAGGCTCTGAGTTCCAGCCCAACTCAGGCTATCACCAACTGATGAGTCTCAACCAGGACGAAACCGCGGTCTTGGGGTGCCAGTGTTGGGATGAGCAACACTATAATGCAGTGCACCTTGTTGTCCACCCTGGCTCGTCCCACTGAATCCACCCAGCGAAGCAGAAGTCTTCCTCGAGATTCGACGCTTGAAGCGCTCCAAGGCTGCCAGCTTAGACGGAGTTCCTCCGGAACTACTCAAGTACGGCGGTGTGGCAGTCATTAACCAGCTGACCGCGCTGTTCGCAAAAATTTGGCATGAAGAGAAAGTGCCTTCCTCTTGGGGCAAATCAGTTATTGTCCCGATTTTCATGAAAGGCGCTCACACTTCATGTGTAAATCGTCGCGCGACTAGTCTTATTTCGGTTGCCTATAAGCTATTGGCATTCATCCTGCTTCGCAGACTATCCCCAGTACGTGAATCATACTACCGTGAAGAACAAACTGGTTTCCGTCCTGACCGCGAATGCGTAGATCAAATCTTTACGCTCCGCCAGCTCCTCGTCACATTTATCACAGGCCCACTATCGTTGCATTCCTAAGACATACGTGTCGCTTCTGACTCCGTTGATCGACCTGCTTTATGGCGTTGCTTGCTAAAGAACGGGGTGCCAGAGAAATATACCGCCATCTTACGAGCACTTTAACTTCATACATCCGGCAGAGTGAGGGTCTATGGCAAGCTCTCCTCGCAATGCACTGTCAATAGCGGTGTGCGACAGGGCTGCACCATGTCCACATTCCTCTGAAACTTCGCAATCGAAGACGTTCTGTCGAATGCTCTAGAAGGTTTTCAACATTTTGGCCTAGAGCTTCTACCGGGTGAGCGCGCGACCGACTTAGATTATGCTGATGATATCGCCTTACTTGATGACGATCCTCAGAGTATGCAACTCATTCTGGATCGTTTGGCGGTTGAAGCATCTAAGTATGGCATGAGCTTTGCCCCATCGAAGTGTAAAGTACTGCTCAAGGATTGGCTTTCACCTGCTCCCGTACTCACTCTCGAAGGTGCACAACTTGAACTGGTAGGTAGTTTCGTCTACCTTGGGAGCTGTGTTTCTGCTGACGGCACTATCAACAAAGTAGTTTCTCTTCGTATCGCTAAAGCTCGATCAGCATTTGTCAATCTGAGGAACTCGTTGCGTCGTCGCGACGTCTCATTCTCGCTAAAGGGCCGCGTTTACAGCGCATCAGTTCGCTCAGTATTGTTGTCTGGAAGCGAGTTCTGGCCGATTCGCGCCGAAGACATGCGTCGTCTTTCTGCTTTCGATAACGGTTGCTTAAGGAGGATCGCTCGTGTTTGGTGGCAACATCGAGTTAATAGTAATGACGTTCGACGTCGCATCTTGGGGAATGCAAGTATTCCCTTCAACAAACTGGTTTTGTTGCGTCAGTTAAGATGACTCGGTCACGTCCTCCGGATGGCACCTGAGCGTCTACCGCATCGCGCTCTATTCCCTCGTCAAGGACCTGACTGGTAGTGACCGCGTGGTGGTCAGCCTTTCACTTGGCGGCAGCACATGAAATCGCTGACGTCGTGTCTAGCCGCTGTTGGACCCGTACGTCTTCCAGGATGGGGACCCAAAGATGAGGAGTGTCAATGGCTTAGCACTCTTGAAGACATGGCCCGCAACCGAAATCAGTGGAAGAATTGTGTACAGTATTGTACTGATTCACATGTTTAATACTAAAAACATGGAAAGTGACAAAAAAGAGAAAAAATCGGCGTGAAAAAGAAACTAAAAATGTTTTGTTCTACTTTTTGTCAACATGTCCCCTTCTTCCTGCGGCATATTAGCTGAAGTGTGTTTTTCACCTTCAAATATCATGCCACGATGATTATGACTCAGTGACTTCCCCTTATCTGCTGATCTCCATATCTTTGTCGGCATTATGTTTAGTTGGTAGGCTGTTGAGATTACATACATTTACGGCACTTATCATAAAGTGACGCTTAAATGAACAGTATCGTGCAAAATGCCATCCACCACATGACCAACAAGGTGTAGGTGGCTTGTTCGGTGCTCGGCTGAACAGCTTGTTCGAGCCAGCCTTTCTTGCCTTTTGCACAGCATGAACAGTATCGGCAATGATGGGGCGACTCTGCTCAACCATAGTGGTGTCGTGTTTCAAAGTAATCAACCGTTTGCATTCGCCTACAAGAGAGTTCAATGTCAAATCTGCATCTTGAACTTACTTAACAAGGAGCCGAGTGCGGATTTCCGCATCGAGTGGAGAATATAAAGCACCGAGGAATATGCGACACTTAAACTGGTCATCCATCGAACAGCGTAACTTAAAACGTTCACATTCACGGTTAACCATGTCTGCTAGTGCCCCATAATCGTCCGTATCACGCTTAACAATTTCTAGACATTTGTAGCGTCGATACACCAAAAATTTCTTTGAGTGTTACCACTGCTACGTTGAAAGTGATGTCCTTCGACTCTTTAGGCAAGATGTGGTCAACGAATCTTGAATGTTCATGTTTATACCGAGCTTGCGGAGCAAAAGAAACACTTTCCATGAATCATCTTGACGGCTGAAATCCGTCCGGAACATGTCCTCCCAGCGTTTGAACCACGCCTCGAAAGTGTATTCGGAAACAGCATCACAATAAAATCCATTGATTGAATTCGTAAGAAGATCAAGCGAAACAGCCTGCGTGTCCCGTGCAGCTGCTCCGTTTGACTGTAGGTTCAAGCACTGCGTCAAAGTTTCAATCAGTTTCATTTGTGCTTCCACCTGTGATTGTTGTTGAAGAAGCAGCTTCTGAAAATGTTCGGCGGAAAAGGTTGTAACATTTTGGTGCTTGTCCGTCGTTATAGTTAGATCTTCACGTTCTCACACTATTCCGAAGTAAACATCCAACAATTGCTCCGCAAAAATTCTCGCCCAGCCGAAAAAATCAAAAGTCCAACGACAATGACCACGAAAAACGTGTTAACAAAAACGCCGCCAAAACGGTGTACAACTACGCCAGACCTACGGCAAATACATAGGGGCTCAAAGACCTTCGGATTCTAAAAAACGAAGGTCAAATGGTAAAATTAGCAGTCTCCCTGCCAAAACTCCGTATGCTAACGAACAGGTAAAGGAATGGAAGGTTCCGGAAACTACGAAATCAGTGCATGATGGAAGATAATCGATTAATTGCTAAAATAGTGGATTTTCCTTAATGTTTTCACCTTTTCCGGATAGTGACAACGTCCGTGTCAGGTCACGCTACCATCGATCTGATCACTTAAGCTGTTTGATGGTCGGGTCAGGGGTACAGTTATCATAGACAAACCATGTCAGCAAGATAGATAAAGGCTAAGGAATCCCCAGTTCTACTATGCGGCGACTTTATCATAAGGCTGATAAATGGACGCGCATGATCGAGGCATGCCAGTCTTAGGGAGGAACGAGGACTCCAAATAGAAGCAGAGGAAGTGACGTCGTCCGTTTGGCTAAGCATGAACTAACCGACTGGACCGCAGTGTGACGCCCTGCTACTGCGTGTGAGTCAAAATTAGAGGACGAACGATTACTGAACAAAGATGGGGAGGGCCAAGAATTGGAGGATTGAACACAGGGAGGGGGGGGGTAAAGTTGAAGTTGGAACGGGACGTTAAGGAGGAAAAAGCGCAAGAGCAGTAGCATCCAAACCCCTATCCACCCTGCTCGATGAAGCAGATAGGGCGCTGTTTATTATCCGCTGCGGTGGTCCCAGCATCAAGAGCTTATTTGAAGAAGTCATAATGTTGTATTGTGTGGGCACAATAATGTCAGGTTGACCGCAACCCAGCGGGGTTTCGGCATTGGACTACAAAGCCAAGCTCACTCTAATTCCCCAGCCTGGAGGGCCAGGAGACTGAGTTTGTCTGGCCACTAATCATTGACTAATCTGGTATGAGTGGTTCTGGTGGTGCAAAAAAGCACCACCCAGCATAGTCCAATGGATTGCTGAGGCACTCAAACAATTGAACGATTTTTAGGTCCAGTCTCGTCGTGATGGAGCGAATGAAGCACAGCAGCTATCCGTAAGTCGAACAGAGAGCGGACTAGCCAAGCTAAACACAAGACTAGTAGAAACGAACCTGATAATAATACTTGTACCCAAGATTAACCGAGATTACCTTAGTCGTACGCTCATGTATTCAATGCAGGTGAAATGAATAGCGTGGTGGAAGCGGAAAAACTGCACTATGTTTCAGAAATGCAGGTGATTAAAGAGAGTCCAGCATCCGTGAGGTTGTAAAGTAAACGGCCCTATTTCGGCATATGATAAGGGGCAATCTGTACTGATGGCGACCATGTATGAATGCTCAAATTACCGGGTCAACAGACGTACTCCGGAGTTTAGCACAGCACTCGAACCCTGGGTGAAGCAAAATGCTCAGAGGACAGATGCAACTCAAGGAATGCTCAACAGACTGCAGATGTGGTAGTACAGACGAAGGTCGGCTTACAAATTGCACTTCATCCTAGACAACTGGTACTCAGGGCAAGTAAAAATCTCTCGAAACACCGGCACCATACCTGGCATGAGGGAGGACGCAGCGAAAGAGCCAGTTCTTTTGGATGTGTTCTCGTTCTTCTTCGAATCGGTTTCACACACGATGCTGTCCGCTGGGAAAGGGGAACCACATTTTCGTTGCAGTGGTCTAGGAGGTGGCGCTGGAGGCAACACGGTTGAATCGCCAATGGCAGAGCACAGACGTGAGGGATATCTTGTACTGTCAGGTAGCGGGTTAGCACTGGGAACATCTGCGTACGACCGAGTACCTATAAGGGGAGTGACGCTAGACATTTCAACAGATAATAATATAGGGGGCACATGGGAGTACGAACAATGTTGACGCGGTTCGGTGAAGGCCACGTTGAAACAAAAAGAAAACGCAAATGGTGGAAAAGAATGCCCAGTGCGTCATGACATGTCGACCGAAATGAAAACAGTAAATCCATCGAACAGAGCCGAAATACAAAACAACAGTGAGAAAGAATGCGCATTCTGAAACGTTATAATGTTCCATAAACAGGGTCAGTGGATCGTATATGTCCGCGATCCACACAAATGGCTCAACATAAGAAATTAGTGGAAACAAGTATAGATCTGACATTGCTCAATCTGCTTTTTGTGAGCGGAATTCACCCAAATGTAAGTAATGTGTTTCGTGTGACTAGTTTCCTAATCGTACACAGTTCGCCTGTTAAATTGTTAGAAATCCGGTATTTTCAGTGACGACTGTGGCGTTCTCTTGGGAGCGATCCTACCACCTTCCCTATTCGCCCAATGGGTTGAATGTCTCCTCAGGCCACCCGCGTGTATTGGTAAAACATGCCCAAAGAGCTGTGCTCAAAGTCCATGCTTTTTCGATGCTCCAAAGTGGATTACGAGGTCCGGTGGAATGGTAATCATTAAGATCTCTCACTTCTAGAGCTTCCAACTGCGACGATGTGTTAGTGTGCTCTGTTTCTGTTAAGGAGCTGGCATAGATCCGCCCAACTTGCGCGGATTTCGCCGGGCTCACCACAGACACACAATCATCACCACGCGGCGACTCAAATTGCGTTAGAAAACAAACAAACCATCCCCCAGGATAGAGGCCAAGCGATAAGGAACCAACTGAGGACACATGTATCTGTTGTGCACACTGCATTGAATCCACGGAACTCCTGACACTACTGTCGCTATCGTGTTATGCCGCAGTGGATCACTTGAGCCCTGAAGCCGCTGCGGCGTTTACCACACAAACTCAGAATGACACTAATGAAATCCCCTCAGGATACCAGCACTAAGCGACAAAACATGTGCCTTGCAAATATCCAACTTTCTCGATAGTTTGTGCCATTTTATTAGTCGGTAGATGTGAAGGTGTAGATTACATGCTTCGCCTTGGCTGAATCAGTAAAAGAACGTTTGCCGATGAAATGTGTTTCCTCTCGGTCAGGTCACAGTACAGTCATGCTAGGTTTCCCATTTTCGCCTCCGACCTTAGCTCGTAGCTAGGTCTTGTTAGCCCGCAACGTTACGAATTCGTTTTGCTACTCTGCACGTTTGTCCCTTTTAAATACCAGGATAATGAATGACATTTTCTTCGGAACATTGACTGTTAGTTTTTCCTTGGGTTCTCAGTTCGCGTGCTGTGCTATGAGTCGCTTGGAATATCCACCATTGGAGAGTCGACGTGACGCGTTCCAGTTTATTGCCGATTGTGTCCGGAGAGTAAATTGGACGAGATCCAGTAGTCGTACGAACTGAAGCTCGTTTGTAGTTCGTAGGATAGAAACAATTAAAATTCAGAAATTGTCCTATCCACTTTGGTTTCCTGTACACGGACCGAACGAGCTTGCAACCTGGGAACCTGCCATCGGATTCGTTTTCAATCGTATATTTCAACGCGAGAAGCCAAATGTTTATGGTGTGTGCGTCAAATGTAAAGCAGCGTCAACGACGACAAACATGTCGTCCATACACACTTACACACACTATACACGTCAGCTAGAGGTGGGAGACACCTCAGCTACCGTGCCGCAATACACAGGAGAGAAAAAAGAAAAATATGAAACAGGTGCAAGCCAACTGAGCTACCGGTAACGGATGGGCATCATTCCGGTAAGCTACGTGGCGACTACTACTATTCATTAGTAAGCTAAAATCCATCCTTATGGCTTGTAGTTGCTGTGTCGTACAGTCGCGATGTGGAAAGTACTAGCTAGTGTGGCCAACTGCCATCCTCTGCACAGTTTGTAACTTGCAAAGCAGCGGAAGATTTGTCTGGCTATAGCGCGGTCAACTGTCAACCATGTAGACCAGCAGCCGTCACAACTGCTTAGCGGCACAACCTGCAGGCATCCGGAACTCATGGGATCGGAAGCCGGCAGGGGTCTGAGTAAGGCGCGCCACCGACGAGACCCAAAAGGGTCGAAACGACACTGTCTAGTGCTTGTCCAGATGTGCCAAAGCCTGCTGACTGACAATCATCATGAGAATCCTCCTCCTCCTCCTCCTCATCATCATCATCAACAACAACAACAGCTAAACTGGTGCTTCACTGCCATACAACCACGATGACCTAAACAATAAGAGGGAGAGAAGGGGGACTTACCTGAAAACCTTAATTCCCTAAGCAAACATTTAGGGTCAAGACGGCTACACGTAAGACGGCTAACAACGTAACGTCACAAGCATCTGGCTATCGTGCAAAGATAAGGCGGCATCGACAAGACCGCTTCCTTGCGGCTTTCACTGCCACGCGTCATAATCATTCATTATCCCGCAGATAACACAGCACCAAACACACTTCAAAACAGTGAATCCGATTACGAGAAGGCAGCAGACGCGCCACTGGTGTCGGTTGCGAGCCAAGTCCTGTAACGTCTCGATCCAAGCACGAGGGTCAGGTGGACTCCAGTCCGGAACGCGAGACGAACCAACAGCACGCAGTTTGGTCGTCAGTGACTTCATTTCCCGTTGCCAAGTCAACTTCTGTCCACTTCGAGCTTTGCGCCAACCTACATCTCGCAAACCTAACAAGACCCTCCTCGGTAAGCGGTGATCAGGTATACGTAGCACATGCCTGAGCCAACGCACATATGACGTGCTATCTGTTGTTCTAGGGAGCTAGCATGATTATCACTACCTAGTACTCGACTACGCACATCATCGTTGCGGACACGCTGGTGCCATCTGACTCCAGCAATGCTTCGCAGATAAGGATGATCAAAGACTTCAAGACGCTTCAGATCTTCAGATCGAAGAAACCAAGTTGCACTGCCAGAGAGCAGCACGGCCCTCACTGTGGCCTTGTATACATGGCCCTTCAGACGGACGGAAACTCCCTTCTGTCGCCAAAGATGCCGCAGGTTCAAGAAGGCAGTTCTGGCAGTTGCAATGCGTGAGCTGACGTCTGTTTCTATGCACCCATCGTTGCTGATACAGCACTTGCCGCAAGATGAATATATGGTCTATCCAGCCACGCCCTGGGCGGAAGAAAGGTCCGCTGTTTCCTAATCCGAGATTTCCGTTCCGCCGTAAGGCGACGAACGAGAATCGACGCTGTGATCACGTTTCAGGCCTCAACTTCAGATGGAGTCTCTAAATTAACCAGCTACGGCTCGTCATGCATCACCTGAATAGGAAGAGATTTGGGAGCAGGTGGCCAACTGAACTGATCATGAAAGTGTTCCTCCCAACGAGTCATCCGGCGGTTCTTATTGTGCATCAGTGCACCCACGCTGTCTCTGATTGTCTCACTGACGCTTAGTTTCCTAGAAGCAGTGGTGCGGATCAGTTGGAAAAGCTTGCGGTAGTTACCTACCGCTCCCGCCTACTCCATTTCTTGAGCATGCATGATGAGAACAAAGAGACATCACTGTGTTATCAGATCGACATGGTTATAGGATAATTTGATCCGCCATGCGATCCGGTGCTCCAATAACAAGTGATTAGTTAAAGTGATAGGAGAAGCGCGATTGATTGGTCATATCAACAATCTGACTGTTTTCATTAATCAAAGGTGGCTAAGTTGATCTTGAACTTAAAGTAAAGAATAAGAGTTCGCTCGATGAACAAACCTCCACGTTGTGTAAGTGCGGTGAGTATTGTCAACAAACTGAGCTGCTTTGATGGGTCAAGTTTGGCACAGACTATCAAGGGCGCGAAAATTAAAATCCGTCACAAGGAGATTCGGAGAATTGAAACTGGGTCAAACTCATTTGCAAAGCGTCGATAGAGCGCGCGAAACCATTCAGAGAAAGTGTGTGTGTGTGTGTGTGCAGAAACAGGAGTAGGTCGCGACTGTTCAGGATCAGCATCGCCGTCCAATGTTGAATAGGTGCGATGAGTAGGCCCAGGGTCAGTCAAAGATTAGAAAGGCAATGAAAAACTTACACTCAGTGTTAGTCACAGAAGGCGAAGCGCTTGAAACTAATCCCTGGTTGACAAAATGCTCCAAATGTTGATCCGTCGCCTTGAATCGAATGGTGCGTGGGGGAAGCGGAGGAGGCGGGGACGACGCATATGCGCTGTGAGTCAAATGAACGTTAGTTGGAAAGTTGACCGTCAAATTGGCAAGACCGGTGGGATTCGCCGGAGCTGGGGAGGACGAGGCGGATCGAACCCCACGGGAGGGGTCGATAGGGTGACGCGGGCGACAACACTGGGAATCTAGAGGAATAAATGGGAAAGTGACACATACCATTGAATCAGCTGGGAGTAGGAAAATGGCAGAATATGGAATGAAAGTTGGTCTGATTTGGTACCATGGACATCAATGATAGAAGTGAAATACAAGTACGAATGAAACAAATCACCAAAGGAAGATAATTCCTGAAAACTATCAGGATTGGAAAAGAACTCACGGAGATGACCCATACTCAACTGCAAACGATCACTTATTGAAGTGGGCTGCATCTGCAACACCCTCCCATCGCATTGGCGGGTGCGACCGCGACCCAAACTCTCTGTGCTGGTAATGAGGGTGGAAAACGCATCGACTGGTGGTGACCGTCCGGCAATGCTCTTCATCGAGAAGCTGTCGGCTGAAGCTCCGGATGATATTGAGGATGATAGAGCATTTGTGGATGCGGCAGTGGATGAAGTCGAGGCGAGCGAAGCAACATGGAGTAGAGAACGGAACTCCTTGGAATCTGCAGTGAGTCGGTGATCTGGCGGGTTCGCACTCAGCATGGATGCAATACGTTGCTCCACGACACTCAACTGACGTTCCTGGTGGCGAAATAAAACACAATTGGGCTTGAGGCTTCTGTGAACCAGAAGCAACACGACAACAACACTAGAGACTGAAGTTTAAATTAGGTTGAAACCGGATAAAATCAACAATGTGTGCAGAAATCCTCAGCTTTGCTGGTCTTAAACCTTCTGCTTTACGAACAGTTTCGACCTTAAAAGGAATCTGTAGTTAGAGATAGTGGAGTTACAAGATATTGCGGTTAATGTGTAGACCCTTTGCCACTCATTACCTAGGCTCCGAAAGCAATATTATGAATGAAAGAATGTGTTATTTCAATCATTAAAATTATCGAATGAACCTTCGGATAAATTTCGAATCCAACCACAATTGGTTATGAGACTCCACTGTTCTCTTTAAATTAACACAGAGATGGATTTTTCCAATTTTGCGTCGACTAATCCAGGCTACCAGAGTAACATCAGGAACCAGATGAAGGATGTTCGCAGAAGCTTACTAGTTAGGTAGTCTCCAATGTATCCGGAAAAGCACTAGATGGCCGTTTTATCCTATCGGGGTTAGTTAGACCCACGGATCTATCAGGAATCGTACTCATGGCCTCTCAACAACAGTTGTTTATGCAACTAGCCAGCAGCCAATGAGTTACGTCAATGACGTTTGAGAGCAACTGAAAAATGCCCATGTCTGGTCCCACTTCTGCGAGTGTGCAGCAACGGTGATGGTCAGTGGATCCCGGTGTTTCATTCGCTTCCTCGTCAGAAGCAGAGCGAGCACACTTTTTCTGTAATCAGAATAAATAGGCCTCGCTCGAGTGGTTGGTTGGATATGAAACCAATTCTTGAACATGCAACCGGTGACATGCTACACACGATGAACGAGTGAGCCAACAGACGATACAGCGCTACCCATGGAGGCTAGCGCACGATGGCGAGCCAAATGGCAAAAACATAAGGGCACTTAGTATTGAAAGCAATGGCAATAAAAGGAGGATGCAAAAGAACATGACCTAAGCTACTTAAATGTGCCGCATAATAGAAGAAAAAGGCATCATCAAGACGTCCGTATGCAGTACCGTCGCTTCGCTGCCGCGCAACCGTCACCAGTCGCATGTGGGTCACTCGGCCCATACCCAAGCTCGAACCCGCACCCTCGGAGTACTAGACAGCCTTGTGATCCATAGGACTACAGGCCGGTAAAGTAGAAGATCATACATGAGCACGGTAGTGCCCCCGTAAACTACGGTTTCGAACGGAAATTGCACGCTGTTGCAGAGCCCTATGATGGCTATCCATTGCTACCATAGACGTTGTGACAGCTAATTGACTGTGCATAAATGTACAGTTCCGCCATAGAGGCTTGAAACTAAATGCGCGAAGCGAATGCGTTACACACAAAGACAGGGTCAGATGATCACTAACATCCAGATCTGTAACAGAGGACAACTAGAAATTCAGGACGCAACAGAATCGCGTGCTCCATGGGCGCCGACTGGGGCTAAAACCATGTCGAAGAACCCCGAAAAAATGAGACAGTCGCACTATACATTTTCCACGATTTTCAACGAATTCCACCCACCTACATTACCTCATTTTCTAAATACTCCGAGACTGGTTCCATGATAACGCCGATTGAAGGTTAAAACTTTGTACAATCAATAGTGAATATTCATTCATTAGATTTCCGACTACTGTTAAAACGATCAGTAGCTGGACTGGGATGATTTTGGAATTTATCGGGCGCTTAGACCAGTGTTTCTCAATGTGGCCCACGGGATTTCCCGAAATGTTATAAGTTCGTTCAAAAAGTTTCATAGTTCGATGACAAACCAGCAGTCAAAATTTTTAAAGTCATATCTGACGGTTTACAATTAGCCTAATGAATGGCTCATGAAAAACAAACTCCTTCCAAGAATGAGTGAGTGAACGAAGCTGTCCAATATCAGAAAGGTAGTGTGGTACTCTCATTGTGATACGATTGGTAGAGGTTGGATGGATCATTCTCCGTTTACGCAAGCTACTATAACCCGAACCTTGTCTCGCGTAGGCGTGCGGAAAGTAAATTATGAAATATAACCTCTTTGCGGGTCACTCCGAAATCGGCGAGTTGGAAAGAGGCCTATTGGCGCGATCCCACTCAAGGAAACGCAGAAGGAAAGCGTGGATATTTCGATGTTTGAGCAGTGTGTTCATTTGACTTTGCGAATTTACGAAAAACTATCTGCGATGTCACAAATAGGTGACTGTTCTGTTAGATTCTTCAAAGAAATCAACTCAGTTTTGTTTTGTGTTCCTGTGTTTAAAAGTTCATTTGGATTTCAACATTTGTTCGCATAACACACACATGGACCGTTGACTGAAAACAGGAACAATGATAGATGTGCCACAGAAATATTCCTAGTTGAATTCCGATTTAGTGAAAGTTAGGCCATCCAATTTGTATTCTGAGAATGCAGAAACTGGAACAATCAGTGCGCATATACTATGTGATGAAACACAGATCTATGCCAACCGGAACCATTTTACCGGGCGTAAAAAACAACATTTATCCTTATTTTGCATTTACGGAGTCCAGAAGTGTGTGTTGCTTAACTAATTCCTTTCGAAGCGTTCCATGGTAACTATAAAAATGTGGCGACATTTTGACAAAATTCATGCGGAATGTAGAGACAAAAAAGGAGTGTTAGACGCAAGTGAGACGAGTGGTTGCACACCCACAAGTATATGCTTAACGCGTCTCAGATGGTAATGGGTCATACGTCAAGAACCCATTTAGTTGCGCGAAAAATACTCCACCTTTCACATCTCAACAGTAAGAGAAAATGATTGACATAACGGTAGACTCTTACCTCCAGGAAGAGTTTCAGAACGCATCGATGCTTGATTTCTGGTGTAAAACGAAGGACGAGTACCCTGTCATAGCGAAGACGGCTGTCGCCGTGCCTCTCCCATTTGCCACAAATTATTTGCATGAAAAAGCATTTTCGCAATACATCTATACCAAGACAAGGTACCGCAACAGACTTGTAGCTAAACCAGATATGGGGCTGAAGCCTTCCACAATAACACCAAAGAAGTCAACGTTGCATGTCAGAAACTACTTCGTCTGACACATTAATGATTAATGTACGTAATTTTACTACCTACCTTCAACAGCTTGCATTTTTTGCTAACATTAATGAACACTCTGTTAATTCAGTGCACAGTAATAAAACGTTTCACGACACTGACTCATTCACATTTTATTAAAGCCTAGTCCTGTCGTTACCACAATGTCAAAGGGTCCGCCGTGCGAGATTCCACTAAAGACGGGTGCACGGTCCAAAAGGTTTGAGAACAGCTGGTGTGGACTGAATTGGGAGTGTTGCGCCCCATCAAACAACAGGAGCTGTGAAGTCAATAAAAGCAGCAACAAGAACCTCCTAATTCAAAACCCGTAAGTTTGTATCCCGTTGGTTCCATAAGTGACTTGGATCTTGCAAAACTACGCGTGTTTCACCGATGTGCGAAGGAACCTCATCCAGAATGTAGTGAACCCCAGAGATGACAAGTCTGGCCAGAGAAGTAAACCGATGTATCATTTCCAATGGTTGTTCGGTGAATATGGCTCAGAGGCTTAAGTTGCTGGCTAGTTGGGATCAGCCTCCAGCGGTCACGGGTTCGATCCACAATAGGGGATAGAGTGAAAGCGCACCACTGACGAGCCCCAATAGGGCGAAAAGTGTCTGGTGCTTTTCCGGACTAGACTGTGCTATGTACAGCTATTGGGATGATGGTTTAAAATTACAACTAAAATATTGCTACTCACAAGTAATATAGAATATGGGAATTGGTGAGGTATGTCAAACAATACGACATGAGACCAAAATGTCTGTGTAGCGCATGGGTCCGGCACAGAGTTATACTGCACACGTGCTAGTGGTCATTTAAAGCCAACATAAACAAAAGAATGAAAGGAAGAAGCAGTAATCATGAACACACCGAACCTATTTTTAAGGGAACATTCGGAAAGCTTACGGTGACCAACAGTGGCTCAGCAGGGTGCCGGGGTTGAAATTGCAGCGATTTCTCATGCATCAAATCATCGAAGCTGTGTTCATCGGATACTCCGGCCATGCGCAAGGGATCAAAGGTAAGGAGAAAATTCTGTAGGTTAAAGAAAAAAATGCAACCCATGGATTAGACTAGTTTGCAACTGAGCAACAGGTAGATAACTATGACAGAATGGAATCAATAAGAAAGGAATTACATTGCGAATCAAAGCGAATAATATTCGGACCAAATGCCAGATAGGTATGGCAGTGCCCGTAAATCGGAATTCTGTCACGGCACCCGGGCCTAGACAAGAGCGAGGATTAGGACCTTACCAGGTTACTAGATCATTGTTTTCGAGACGGTTGGATTTATGGCGGACAGGGCACAAGAATTTAGTTTGCAAGCGCTAGGTGTTGTACTACAATAAGCGCACTAGGCCTATCCACAAACCGGCCTCAGCACCAGTACCCCGAACACACACGAACTTTAATCGGAGCAAACGCACGACGCACTCGGGGCCATGAATTCTGTCTAATGACTCAGTCATGCAGCTGCAAGCAAGAGTAGGCGAACCGGGACACAGATGGGGTGCCCAAGCTAGTGTTGGAGTGAGCACCAGTGCCGAAGAAGGGAGTGTTTCGAGATAAACGTCCAGTTCAGTTCCGTTCAGTTGAACAACTATGATCCAAGCACTGAAGTGTGGTGGATTCAGTTACCACGACTCACGTAGCAAGAGTAATAATAAGTAACAACGGCAAGATAGTGATGTTAAAGGCAAATAAAATGTAAGGAAAATGAAATCAAAAAGGAAATGCGTTAAACTAATCAGAATGAAACGAAAACAAGCAACCAGAGGAAAGAAACCGAATGTAGGAACGCAACTAGCTGCGTGACTGCGCAGTCTGCCTGATACAGCAAGCAACCATTGCTGTGGACCATCACGAGGCCATCATCCACGAAGACGGCACACACCAGCCTGACCAAGTCTCTCAGTCAGTTTCTTCATGCCTCTAAGTCACGTCATGGACTGGCCACCTCGTGGTTTCGCCCAATTTGGTGCAGCCACGAGGTATAATGCATGCCGAAGAAGCCGGTAACGGTCATGCGGAGGACATAGCCTAGCCGACACTAGCGAGTAACAAGCAGGAAACACTCCAGGGAAGCATCAGAAGGTTTCTTGCCAAAAACCAATTGGTGGACCGCAGTATTGTTCACCCGGTGTTCCCATCAGACATGCGCAATACTCCGCAATAACCGGTGGTCGAACACGGTCAAGTGTTTTCAATGTCTTCATTGCGAACTGGCCAGGTCTCTGATCCATGCAGTAACACAAGCCCTACCGAAGCGTTATACACCCTACCTTTCTCTGACAGGCTTATACCCTGCCGCCTTGATAGATGAGTCTCTGCAAAGCATGAAGTAATTTCCTCAGGGCTATGACCACCAGAGGTGAGAGCTACCAAGGTGAACCGATCCACCAATTCCAGTGGCTGTTCGATGATAGCTAGAACCGCAGGTGTGTCAGTGCAGTTCTGCAACTGTATTTCACACTATGAAGGTGCAAAGCACATGCCAAAACGTGCGGCGCTACGCGGCAGTCTATGCACCGCGTTAGACCCAAGAAGAGATGTCGCGCGAATACTCCAGGTTTGTCAGTCCGTCACCAGGCAGAACATCTACTCCGGTGGAATTCTATAAGAACTGGGTCACTCATGGTCATTTCGATAGCAAAGGAGGTATAATAAAGCCAAGGCGAACCCCACTTGTTGTGGAGAATCCAGGAGACAGTTTACCGTAAACACCTACACGGCCTCAGGAGTCACCGTAGAGAGAGACCTCATAATGGAAAGGAATTTAACCAGCACGTCCTTTATGGATAGGCAGTGCCGAGAGCCGGAGCGGTCAACAGAGTTGAAAGCGGCTTTCAAATCAAGTAAAAACACCACAGTCGGTCATCCATTTGTGTGTCTCTGCTCTAAAACTTAGCGAAGAGTAAAGATGTGATCAATAAAATCAAGACCAGGGCTGAAACCAGTCAGTCGTCGGAGAATGATACCCGTGAGAAGTTTGGAGGCAACGGATGTAAGGCTAATGCCTCGATGGTTTTCGTACAAAGTGGGCTGGCCCTATGTGAAGACGGGCAGGGCGGCTGACAGTCGCCATCCTGAAGGCATCACTTCAATGTTCCAAATCGTGTTAAACAGAGAAGCGAGTCAAAGCAACAGAGTCAGCAGCAACTCTTAGCAAAGATGGAAGATGGTCCGGTCCAGGAGCCTTGTTTCGCTTCAATACGGAAAGCACATGTGGAACATTTTCCAAAGTGGGAGGTGTGATACCTACTTCCCAAGTCGGCTCAGGTGACTCTGCTAGCGGCAGTGTCACAGAAGGCCAGCTGAACTGCTCTTCAAAATGTTCCACTCAACAGGCTAGTCGAGGAGACTGAGGATGAATCAACTGTTCGTCTTTCTCACCTATTGTCCAAACCACATTGGATCCGATAGTACTTGAATTTACCTACTAACGAATGAATGATGTGCAGAAGGAGCATGGACTAGCTCGGGTTCAACTGTGGCTCCAATTTGCAGGCCTTGTGAGGAAGCACCCAGCTGCGTCCTGATTAATGGAGCTTGAGCAAGGGTCAAGGAGAAACGAGCCCACACAATCAGCTATCACCCAATCTCCATACACGCTAGAATATCAGTGAGCCAGCGATTGGTAGCGAGGATTTCGTCACAAAGGCGGGTCATATGTAAAATCTACCACTTGTCCAAGTTTAAAGCTTCCGTCACAATCAGGTGAATCTTCTGCCATGCTGGGGACAAGCGCAAACGACATTTTAAACAGTCATGCGGAAGAATGAGAATACCAGTAAAAAGATGGTTCTAATGATAAGTGCAGTTCACCGCATCAAGCATTAAAGGATATGCGTCGCACAATCGAGAGCAGTTTATTTAGTTATTAAATCTAAAACGATGTTATAAAACCATGTTATAAGGCCTAAGTAACGAAAGCGACCTAGATTAGTGATAATTGAGTGATTAGATTCCACTCAGAATTGGTTTCTAGGCCGTACCATACCAGTCCGGTTTCCCATCGGGCGATATTCGATTCTCACGACAAAGTAAGCTGACAAAGCAAGATTTTTGTCTATTTCTTAATTCTTCTGCTTCTTTAACGATTAAGACATTTTGTGGAAAAGGCGACGCGGTGCGAACCAGTTGTGTACTGAAGAACGAACGTATACATGTTATAACATATCTAACATAGAACAGTCGGACTCGATTGTGCATATCATTCGCGTAGCCATTCGATTCCACGTTGCGCTATCGACTCAGCTTGTCGTAACTGTACGATATAGGTTCCACGCTCCAGCGCCATTTGTAAGGCTAGTTGTATTGTGCAATATACGCCCGTCTTGATCCATTATTCCCTGAGTTCATCGCGCCAGCTGGTTTCACCAAACTTCTCATTAGTAGTGCCCCACACTCCACCTTCTCTAAAGTCTCCGAGGCCGTCGACCTCGTATGCAGTCTCACCGACCTTCGGGGGTACCCCATGTATGCAGTACTGTCCTCCTTGCTCGTATCACTTCCTCAATTCACTAGCATGAACTCGCCGCCTACCTCCCAGTCGAGCGATGGTGTGTCCTGGACCTCGTCGATCCATTACGTCATATGGTCGCTTCCACTTCGGGAGAAGTTTCCTGTCGCCTGGGGCGTATGCAGTCGCGCTTTGGTCATCTCTGTACTTTACGTTCGAACCGACTGGAAAGTCTCCGGAAGGGTTTCTCATGTTTACCCAGGATTTCTCCATCAACCGCATCTGGGCTGCCTTCAGATTTCGGTTCGCTCTTTCTGTTGTTCCGAACTTCCCTCGGCGGTAACTGGCAGGTCGACCCGTCTCAAGATCTACAGGAATTCGGGGCGCGCGGCCGTACATTAACTGATGTGGATTGCGTCATGCTTGCCTGCCAAGTGGGTTAGCAAGCTTAGTGGTAGAGCCTCTTCCCAAACTCCCACTTTCGCCGCCAGCCATTCTTTAATTGTCCAATTATTCTTCACCGTCAATCCATATGTCTTGGGATGGTAGGGAGTGGTTCCATTCTGCTTGCTACCCAGTTTCTCCAGATATGTCCGGAACTCGTCACTTTCAAAGCATGGGCCCTGGTCCGTCAGCATGGCCTTCGGAATTCCGTGGCCCGCTATCACGTGTATCATCATCACCGCATGTGTTATCGTGCTAGCCCGCTAATCCGGAATTGCCGCGGCCTCAATCCAGCGGGTGAAGTGCTCAGTTAACACGATTATGTATTGATTGTCCCACCTCGTTAAGGGAAACGTCCCCATCACATCGATTAACCGCAACTTACCAATCTCAGACACTAGAATCGCGAGCATAGGTCTTGGAATAAATCGATTGTCTGCCTTAAAGAGTTGCTACTGCTGACACGACAACACGTATGTATCAAGGTTTTTTGCATACCCGGCCAGTAAGCTCGTTGCCCAAGCAAATCATACGTTCTACTGTATTCAGAATGGGCCATCTCGTGACAAGAGACCACCAACTTTTACCGCAACTTCGGTGGAATAACTGGCACCGTGGTAGCGCCTTGCCCTTGTGTTCACAACAGAATTCCGGCTTTGTTGGCTTGCAAGTTTTCCAGGTTCCGCATGAAAGGCCAGAATTGTTTGACATGGCTTTTAGGTGTCGCAGTTTGATTCATCATTCGTGCTGTTATCAGCCTGTTCAGGAGCCCATCCTTTAGTTGCTCAGCTGCCAAAAGCCACGGATCCTGCTCCAGCACCAAACCACTAACATCGAAGGAAACATTCGGCAAATCATCGTCACTCGTAAGGCGCAATAAAATAGTATGTTGTTCCCTTGTTGCTTGTCGTGAAGTTGTATCCTTGTAAGCGCAGTACCCACCTAGTCAACTTGCATCTGAGGTCTTTGGAGAACCTAATGCATACCAATGGTTTGCGATCTGTCTCGGCGTGAAAGCGTTGACCCAGTAAGTTCGCCCGCCACTTGTCCAGCGCCCAACACAATTGCCAGATACGCCTTCTCTACTGTAGAATACTCGCGTTCCGATGGCGTTGAAATTCTGCTAG